TTTGCAGCACATGCTCACGCTATCCTTCGGGAAATGGAGTGTAAAAAGAGTTTAAATGCTCAACTGTAGACTTAACTACATTGGTCACTCGTTTTAGGGTAACCGGCTTCAAGTTTTCCAATCCGAAGTGCTGCACGAGTTATATCGATCATTTTTCAATGTAGCCACTAGGTTGGGTGACTCACCATCACGATGCGCTGAGAGAGATGTTAGTTGGATGGAGACAACTGACAAGAAGCCTTACTTGATCTAGGTTTCGTGTCTTTCAGCATTAGTCAGAAAGGTGTATCTGCAACCTCGATGGAACTAATGTTTCACATGATATTCGAACTCGTGTCAACGACTGCCGCAGTCGGAGACGTCACTACCGAGTTATTCGGGTCGCTATTGACCTCCTATAGAACTAGATAAGGTAAAATAATTAGTTACTGGTGGGTAACCGATTTTATGTTGTCTTGTCTTAAGTGCTGATCAGATTCTGTCAGTCACTTTGACAAATAGCACAAAACCTCGATCCAGGTCTTTCCGACGGTTGCCTCAATGCAACTAATACCTCTCTCAGTGTAGACTAAACTTAGCTGTTATACTTCCTTATATCATTCCGCTAAGTAGTCCTTTCAAGGTGGTAACCTTGCTCAGCAGATATTGTAATAGTCCTAATGAGATACAGAAATCTGAACAAAAACCTGATGTTCTGGAGGATGTCTTTTAGCTACTTCTTTGTTGCATTCAGCTGAAATGGGCTGGACAACGGACAGATTCCAACTGCACCTGAGTTAACAGGTGCATCTGCAAATTATATTCATCATGGTGACCAGCAGTGGAATCTAGAAAGGGCGTTTCGTCCAATTTGGGACTAGTCAGCTGGATGTACCTTCATCCCAGTGAGTAAGATTTTTCGTACTTAGACTGAAACCCAGTACCCGTTGTTTCATTCACTAAGCCACTAAAACACGAGAACCATCTGTTGCTGTTTGATAGTTGTAACTTCCTGCCGTTATACTGCCATCCAGCAGTATCAAAGTCCGCGCATAGGAACCCATCTACTAACAGAGATCGGGAAATTCCACATTTTATAGCAACGGGGAATTTCAGGCATCAAGAAATATTTGCAGGTGGTTATGGGAAAACGAGAAAAATTGACTGATATTACTGGTGTGAGGTATTGACTGAAACTCAAACTGAAGTCTGAATTGTCGCAGAACTCTATCTAGCAGCCTCAGGATAAACGGATCACAGCTGTATCAACTGAGCACCTAGACTCAGGTGCTTCGTGACCAAGTCTTGACTTCACTCTAGTCATGATGGAAAGATAGTTACATATCCCAAATAAACATCAGAGGTGGTAACAAAAGGCATCGATCATAAAAGTGGAGTACAAATATGGTCAGTATCTCGTTCTCGTAGCAGAGTTGATACACAGTTGGTTCAGTGACCAGAAATCTGCTAGTTCGAATCATGTCACAACTCTAATTTTACATTTTACCTTCACTCATGACTTCAAATGAGTAATTCGACAGTCACTTTATCGATCATTTGGGGGATAATTTTAGATTCAATTCTAGTTGACTGAGTTTCGATAAAAATACTATATGTTGTTCATCCCACACTTCTCGCTGTAGATCAACTTCTCCAAACTATGAGAATTCCTCAATATTTCACTCTGAATTTAGCATTTGTATTCCATTCTACTGTGGACTGACCACCTGAATTTATTTTCACTCTTTTCCTCATCTGACAGCTAAGTACCATCCATTATCGATTTATCATACCTATTTATGTTTGCGAATATTATTTAGCAGTATGATCCTGTATCGAATACATTGGAATGTACTTACTGAACTCGATTAATACCTACATCTCAGGTAGTGTCATCGTGAGAAGTATGCTGCCCTGAAAGGATTTATGTAGAAAGTCTGTGTTGAAACAAAGATCAACTTATTTAGTCAGTGTAAAGAAGTATGAGCCTCGCACTTGCTAAATGTAAGATGATGCTTCAGGACTAGTCTGCTGAAAGTACTCCCAGTTTAAGGATTAGGAGTAAAATGACGATATATGTTGGTCACTTCACTTACTTAGAGAGTTGTATCAGCCTAGTTGATGACGAAATCTTAGCTCAGGTACAGAAGGTCCGTTTGACATTTGCCAGCTTGCGTCATCTATACTGTCGACAGGCGAGATATCCGACTACCTGTGAAAGGACAAGTATGCTACCCTGCAGTCCATTCTTTCCCGTAATACCACTGTGAGACATGAAGTGGCTACAGGGTTTTGATGAAAGATATCTCGACAGAATTGCTCGCGCTTGGCGGAATCACCGTGCAAGCACTGCTTAGGTCAAGTTAAAGGTGCTAGGCAAGACGGGCAAGTCGACTGGTAAGGTTGTGAACCTGAATCGGCTAAAATGGTTTGGATATGTATTGCGCACGCTGAGCCACTACCTAATCCGACGTGGCATACTACGGAAAGCTGATTAAGTTGGAAGAGATTTCAGGTAGGCCAGGTGGGTCGATTAAGTCCCTAACTGTTGATGTCAGCCATGTGAAGAGATGTAGACTGCCTGGTTGAGGTCTCTGAGAAGATATGAATTAGTGATTGGGAAATCTTTGTGACATGGCTGATAATCGGTCATAACGGTGCAGATGTATTTACTCCTTGCCATCTAAACCTTGAGAGTTTGCACTAGTCTTTATCTAGAGATTGCTTATTCTCTCACACAGTTTTGTCTATTTTGATACCAGTCTTTTTCTATCCACTTTTTCTTTGCGTACTACTTTAAAGTATAGCCACTTGAAATAATGCAGTTATGTGTGAGGTTCTACGTTTTTCTTGTCTGCCTCTGTCTGTAGATGAATATCATACTAAGAAATAGCATTTATTGTACTTTGAGTAAAAATTTGTGCATTGAAGGAACAAAGTACAAATCTGTGACATTTAGAACCACAGTTGTTATACTTAAATATTATTATTGATAGAAGTACTTCTTTGGACGCCAAAGTGGTTTTGATTTAACTCACGAGTGCATACATTCACCTCTCACTGTCCTAGGAATTGACTGTATGACCTTGAAATATCTAGAGGAAATATAGTAAGAATTCACCAATCAACTGTCTATAAATTCTCACTGTTAGCAAAGCGGCACAACTGCCATACTGCAATATCACAAGGTATCTATTTCTTTGCTTGATGAGGTAAGTACAACGAAATCGATAAGTTAAAAACAGGATGAAACGCATGTCCGCAACGTAAAATATAATCAAATGACTCGTTTTCGTGCCGTTTCATACTACTTATGACTGAAAATATATTGCATAATAGATTCATATGGTGTGTTTTAATGTATAGTTAAGAATGTAGTGGTCATTAGACCAAATAACAAACTATTTGAATATAGTAAAATGAACGTGTCCAAATTTCAGTATGCAAATGTATTCCAGGGTATTTAAACAAAGCGTGCGCATATCATTCAACTTCGAATATCGTTAACATACTTATAAAGTGAATAAATGTTGTATGGCCCATAACATCATTTGCTACATGTACATTGATAATAGTTCAATGGTCTCATTAAATATAATGTTCGATCACTCTGATCTGGCTAACGAAATCTACAGACCAACCTGAGTGGTTTCTAACTACTCAATTTGTTCAGTAGTAGTATATCCCGCTGGTTCGACACATTCTTGTGTCAAAGATAGCGCCCTGTAGTTCTGGTTGCGATGTAGTTTCCAATAAAAACTGGTTGAGACTGAAGCTGGGGAGTTGAAAAATTCCTCAGCTGTGAGAAATGTTAACGTGGACCAAGCAAATTGTAAATCCTCTGCAAATTGATCGTATTATTCTGGGTATACCGGTTCGAGTAAGTTGGTTGACCAAACTCAGGAAGCCTAAACTAATTCGGTCCTATAAACTAGGTGTTTCCGGGTACACCATGGGTGTGCTCACCCTGAGACGATCGAAACGGTCGTCCGGCGTTTAGATCACTGTAATCTGCCTGGCGAAATTTACAAACTAGCATGAGTGGTTCCTAACTACTTAAATTGCTCACCAGTAGTATACCACCCTACTTAAAATGCTTTTAAAGTAGGTTATCCCCGCATTTTACCACTGTGCACTATTAATAAACACTGAATGCCCGACTACTTTATTTTTCACATCTAATCGGTGTTAGCTGAATAATAACTGAAAACCAAATAGTCTCATGGTTACAGTATCTATCCTGTAGCATATGATTCATACTAACTGTAGACACTTTTCAGCGTTAATCTATTCGTTACACTCAGCTGAAAAGTTTACACAAAAACCACCCTGTACACTACACAACAATTTCTCAAACTGAGAATTTAGTTCAGTGATCTTTGGAAGTTCTTCGTTAAAAAGTTGAAGATGGATAGAAAGTGATCTGATGGAAGAAGTCCAATATTCAGTGTACACACCACATGTATCTAGTCAACGTTTAATAACAGATACTATACAGAAGAGTAAAAGCGTTGGACAATGCCGTTCGTACAATATTTCGCCCTCATAGCCTGCAATGGTCGTGTTTCTTAAGATGTAACTCAGGTCTTTCATAAGTGAATGATAAGGTTTCTTCCACAATTTATTTAGTAGCTTGTCCTGATGGCCTTGTGTGCGATTGGTTGTTTTTGCCAAGTTCTTGTCATTATTTCTGTATTTATTTTGATTGGTCGTCCTGATGACCTGAAACTTGACCTTCTTGTTGTTTTTTGTTGATTGATCCAATCTACCAACCAATGAAAAGCAGCCACTAAATAAATTGTGGAGGAAACCTTATCACTCACTTCTTTCTGAAGTTTGTGTTGATGAAAGTTGCACGATTAAACCATTCAGTACAAAGAATACAGCATCAAAAAAGGGTGTAAAAGTTATAGAGCTAAGTTTGACATGACTATGAATCATAAATTATATTCAAATCATTATCCACTGAATTAAAAATTCTTAAATGTGTGTAAAGTATACAATAAACAAATCAAACTTACTCCAGTAGAATAGGTTGTTACTTTTATAGAAGTACCTTTAGTTGTTGGAATCTTTTGTCCATTACGAAATTCTTTTGAATACCATCTTCCAGAGGAGACTAGTGTACCAACAGCGTCTGAATCACTAAATTTTATAAAATTTTATAAAAAAAAGGCTATTATCACATTGCTCATTGTTTATGAGAGAACAACTGGTTCTGATAAACAAATCAAGAGTGTAAAAACTTGATTCATGAGAGGACTAACTTTGTTGTGAATGTTCCTCAGTTCGAGTATATTCAGTGATACAAACTAACTAACTTCATGCCTTTAATGGATTAGTTGCATGGTACTTCAGATGAACTAGGAGTTGCTTATGAGAAAAGCACGATGCAGACAGAAACTTGTTAATTTTGAGTATCACAACAACTTTTATGACATTATTAGAAGTCTTTGTAAAGTGGTATTCATCATGGAGTGACATCAGATGGAGAACCGTTGAAAATCTGAGAGCACTGGACAGCTGCTTCGTCCCAACACGAGACTCCTCAGCAGTAAGGATACTCGACCTCACCAGAGATTGCACTCAGGACCTTCAAGTCATACAGCCACTGGATCAGAGTTCAATGGTTCACAGTTTCCTAATTCTGTCAGTTCATGATATAATACGACTATGTACTCGAATCTTCAGTTGGCAGTCGCTCCGTTTTCAACTAGTTGATCTAACAGGTTTCTGTTTGAATTCTCGTAAACAAAGCATCAGAGGTCTATTTAAGCATCATCTTCAGTGCTACTTCATACACTGTGGATTCCGACCACTCTGTAGTCCTAATAATTGCCTAACAGATGGTCACTATCCATTCAGATTGACGATATATATATATATATATATATATATATATATATATATATATATAAGGCCAGCGAGTGAAATATATAGATGGTATCAGGTTTCGGTTCACAGTGGCTACCGTAATCGATGGACCACACAGCATAATTATTCATCTCAAAGAGTTAACAAAGTGGTAGATTATTTTGCTTGCCCTAAATTCACACACAAATTGAATCAGGTGTTCATCACTCCTGTGTAAATGTTATTTCGAAAAAGATCTGTATGGAACACCATACTGAATCTAGTTTCGTTGAGTATTGAACTGAAGTAGTTGTACTTCCCCTTTCTTGTTAGATAGGAGTACGCACAAAAACAATAATAACCGCTTATTATCAATCTGAATATCTGAGATAGCTGTAGTCTGGGGAACTAGTATCGATACTGGGTGATGATTGAAGGTAGAGAGAAAATTTGGGCCACGAAAGGATTTGAGCCACCGACCTTTGAGCTCTCGACCCAGTGCTCTACCAACCGAAGTACTAGATTCAGGTGCAGACCAGACTTTAATTTGGCTTCAACCACCAAGGGTTTTGTTCTACTGGCATATGAATTCATGATGCATAACTGTCCATTCATCGTATTTACACTATCTGCCCAGATAGAACTTCTCATCTCAATCCGAATCAATCTGAATTTAAGAGGGGAAGCATCATATTGACTATCAGCTTGACTGTCTATGATGGTTGTGGTTTGCGTCTCATCATTTACTTCGGGGAAGAGCTTGCCGAAAACCTGGAGGTCGCTGGCTTCAATCTTGCTGCGCCGCAGATTTTCATTTTACGTTCGATCATCACGCAGTATCAATAACAATTTACTCAGTCTGTTATAATTAGTAGTATCACCACCATCACAGATAATTGTTGAAGCATCAAGCATCATTGTCGTTGAATGTAAAGAAAGATGGTTGTGACAAACAAATATTTCTGCTTTCAAATTCAGCAACTCAGTCTCTCTGTATTTTCATTGTGTGATATTTATAAACATCATGGGATGGAAAGTTATTTACTTAAGAGAAATTTTTAACATCTACTGCGGATAACATTCAGCCAACATTCTCTTCTGGGTTAGCTGAGAGAATCGTACTCTGATAATGAATTGATCTGTTAGTATTGCATCTACCTTTTCCGTTTAACTGTGACAGATGCTACAACTCATATCAGTAAATCAACCATGAAAGCGTCAAAACAAATGTTAGAAAAACTAGCTAAAAGGTCGTCAAAAGTTGTAGAGAGTCTTAAAAAGAGACCAGATTGCAATAAAACAATAGAAAACAATAGCCGACCGGGATAAGGTGTGAATAATTCTGCACCGTATCACCAAGAGGGGAACAACAACAGCAACATCAACGACAAGCACTAATCACCATCAACGGGAGAAACCTAAGGGAAGTAGTCTCTTTCACCTACTTAGGCAGGGCAGCATCGTTTCAACTACAGGCGGAACAGGCACAGATGAAGACGTCAAAGCAGCCAGGATCGGAAAGATAGCAAGACAGACCTTCATCAACCTGAAGTCAGTGTGGAGATCTACTGCACTCCACTCTACTCAGCATAAAGCGTGCGTGAACAAGATCCGGATTTTCAACACTAATGTCAGTCAAGTCAGTGCTTCTATATGATGGTTGAGAGACTTGGCGCGTTACGAAAAGCATTTCCAACAAACTACAGACATTCATCAACAGCTGCCGCCTACGCTCGCTCACTATATACTGAAGATGAGATGGATGGCCAGGAAGAATAAGCAACAAGAAACTCTGGCTGGCTACCAGCGAATCAACCAAGAACACACATTCCAACAAATATACAGAAGGAAGTGGAGATGAATTTGGCATACAATGGGAAGCCCAACTGGGGACATCACGCTCCAGGCCAGACCAGGCCAGGCCCTCGAGTGGAACCCAGAGTGGAAACGACGAGTTGAGTATGTCAGGGTGACATGGAGGAGATGGTGTGAGGAAGAAATGAAAGGTTATGAGCAGTCTTGGAGTCAGGTTGAAAAGATTGCAGAGAGGAGAGTGGAATGGAGACGTGCTACTGAAACCCTATGTTCCACTAGGAATCGAAAGGAAAAATAATAAAAATTGTATCTTATCAGGGATCAGCTGATTAATTCACACTCGAACAACCACACTTGGATTGTATCTGAAAATCTTTGAAAATCGATATGGTTATTCACTATATTTGTTGGACAAAAAGTCATACTTTATTTTCCGTCATAGAAATAAACACGACTTCAGCAGATTGGTATTCATCACGGAATAACATCAGTTGAAAAATCATCGAAAATCTGGGAGTACTGGACAGTTTTTTTTACTCTAGTATCCGATTTCTCAGCATTCCTCACCCATGACTCCACCTTGTCGGGGGTTGAACCAAGAACTTTCAGGTTTCACGACCACTACGTCACCATTAGGTCACTGAGTCGAAATGCAATGATCCAATACCCTTTATCCATCGACACCAACCTCTGGAAGGGTCATGGATATGCACTGCTTCGAAGCCTCGTAAGATGATGTAAAGGCTATGCAGTGCTTCCAGATTTTCAAGGTTCCTCTAACTGATACCAGCCCACGGTGAATGCCAACGTAAAATCAATGAATAAATCCCCACAAACCTTCAAACTGAATTACGATTACAACAAATTTATCAGAAATGTGAAACACTAAGAGATAATCAGTAGCTTTCTTTCTAAGATCTCACCTTATATAATCAATTTCTTTTGAGATGATGTCATCATCATGCTGAGGAACAAACACAGTATAAACACCTTTGGCTGGACTGGCAGATAAATCCTGTAATTTATCCTTTGATAAAGTTTGAGCTGTTTGTAAATATTTCCTTTCTCTTAGTTGATTCGTAATTGTTTGCCATGAACGATCGACAAAGGCACATTTATTATCTAATAATTCCGTTTTTTCATAACCTGGACAACAGTCATATTCAAATTCCACACCTGGAACACTGTGGGGAAAAAAATTCAAAAAAGTAGAAGTTCCTCTTCATGCGATAGTTTTTTTGATACAAAGCTCATTGGATAGCCTAGTTATTCAACTGAGATCAAAGTTTGGTTAATTAACTCGATCTTTCGAACTGACCTACACAACAATAAATCGATAGTGATTTTGGGTATGGTCAGGTCTAGCCATAACATTTCTTCCAGCTAAAGTGTACTTTCCATCCAAAAGGCTTTGCAAATTGTTCACTCTTTTAGCATTGATTCCTACAATATCAGTCACAAGTTTATTGGCAAGTAATATACATCTGTTGAAGTTTGTCAGGAAGGTTTGTGTGTAACTTACATATATTTCAAATGATACTTGAACAGTGAAGCTTCCTATATAATATCCACTTTAATGTTTTTAAAGATCCAACAAACTGTAGACTTACCGATTACTATTGTTGGTGTTAGAACAAAGATATTGTCTAAATAATTGTCGGCGACCAGTAGGAAGCCATGCTTGACTTACGTTTCCTGCTTATCGGGATTCATCAGCAAGGCGCATCTCCAACCGCAGGGGTACTGATGTCCCTACAAACATTCGAACCCACGTCATTCACTGGTGTAGTTAAGGACCTTTACTAATGAGCTATTATTTTTCAATGTCATGTTACCTGTTTCGCCAGTCAGATTACTTCACCAGGAGTGATAGAATCCCCTTAAAGATAACAACATAAAATAGTCACTTTCCAACAATTACTCGTCGAGAAATTAGTCTTCTCACTGTTTAGTAATGTAACGTTGTATCTCTTCATCTACATTTATTCATCTGTTGAAACTCACTTGCTTACTAGTAAACATCGTTTAGGTAAATTGTTTCAACCACCTATTTCAAGGATATGAAAGAAGGTAGAAAGATATGAAACATTGTAGCATTATTCCTTAAACCATACACATGCTTTAGTATCGTATGTATACGAGGATAAATTATTATTTTCCAAACTATCTGATTCACATCATGGGTGTTAATATGAGTAGGTATAGATCGATCATATATGTGGACTGTCATCCAAATATGAGCTGTTTTCAAGCACATATTTGATACCAATTATCTTCAGAAGAGGTTTACAGACATAACTTGTTAAAAAGTGTTTACAAACTCGAGACGCGTAGCTATTTATACTAACTGCCCATAATTATTTGACACTCGACAATGTTTTACTACGATTTATAGTACAAATTATGCTGCCAGTATTACTTTCTCTGACCTACAACAGTTCATCCTCTTAGAAGATGGAATACTGCAATACTATTATTGTATGAGCAGTTAGCTTACCAATTTTTCTTCAGTCATCATTTTAAAATTCTGCTAAACTGTAATTACTTATAACATTGTAAAATGGATTGTTAGTTTAACCCCAGACATCTAACATGGAAATATAGTACACTGCAGTCTGTCATCACTTAATTTAGTGGCTACATTACAAGTCAAATCCGTAAACCTCGGTCAGCGACCCGATGACCCGCTAGTGACTAGTTTATATACACAATCCATACCTGCAACGAATCACCTATGATGCAAATAGCTTAGCGGTGAAACTGCCGAAGGGACACTAGTTTTCCAATGGTTGTAGATGCTCCTTCCCCGTAACTGCCAAAGCGAAAAAAGCCATCATTAAAGGTTTCGATTAACTGACAAGTGACATTTTATATTACAATGCAACTTTATAAGAAAGAGTAGCAAGTATTCTCAATAAAACATGTGACTATGTTGGTGCTTGTACTATCCCATAGTTGGGTGGACCGAATCGATCGTCATCCATTGACGTATGGGCTCCTATATGGATGTCTCGATATTGCCTGTGTTTGAATTATATATATTAATGATGGACAATGGGAACAACATCGCTCACTGCGAGGCAGATATATGCAGCTGAAGAGTTCCAAATTGGACGAAACGCGCGTTCTGGATTCCACTGCTAGCCACTATCTATAATTAATAAAGCATATGACCGTATTGGGACATGTGGTCTCATTTCAGGATATCATATTGTCATTTGATGTTCATATATTCGAAGTTTGAAAGACCATCACAAATTACTTCTATTTTAGTTGATTTATGAGATGTACCACACAGTGTTTTACGTTTCAGATACAATTTATGCTGTTCATAGTCGTATCAAGTTAACTCCACAACACTGAAACATGCTTTATATAGTTCTAATTTTCTCACCTTCTTTGTAATATGGGCAGTAGGATTTTCCGTATATCCGGGACAGGTGTAGAATCATTCCCGCTGCATATGTTTAGTTTTGATAGGATTAAAAACGACTCGGTTATCAGTCTCTCTCTCCACCTGACTAAGTTAGTTCTAAGGTTTATCGCTGTGTTCCAGGGCTAACAAACTAAGTGGTAACACAGAGGATCTAGGACAAGAAATCAGACACATTAGGGACATCAAACTCATCAATAATTACTCTCCTAAATAAATAATAAGTTACTTAGTAGTCGTAAGAAAAGCATGCAACTAAACTCAACCACACATTATGATGGGATGGAGTGAGAGTTCTTAAAACTGGAATTAGTGGGGTGGAGAACAAGATTAATAACCAAATCTTTCCTCATTCAATCAACACCTAATGCATGCAACAGGAATAAATCGGCATGTATTCTGGATATACGTAAAATCCTACTGTGTTAACCACAAAGAAGACGAGAGAATTAGAAATATGTAGGGCATGTCTCAAAGTTGTGGAGTTATCCTGATATGACTATGAACATAATGATTTGTATGTGAAAGGTGATCCAGTAAATAATACTGTGCCAGTGTGTGATACTTCTGATAAATCGACTAAAGTGGAACTGTAATCTTCCACACTGCACAAACTTTACTCAAATATCCCAAATTATGTTTGATAATCAAAGAAGAGAATTAGAAAACTTACTTTTATAGACCAATAACGAAGAGTTACTGAGTGACCACTTTCTCACTGGCAAATATAATCGAAATCACCCCTATAAATATTCACTGAAGTCACACCACCTTGACTTATTTATAAACTAGTATCCAAGATGACGTTGGGCTGACACTCAGTGTCCTACCCATATATACTGAACAAAACACAACAACTATGTTCTTCCATTAACTGACCTTTATGTGACTTTCAGTGTTCACAAGTCTTTAATCTAAACAGTTTGCCAATTTTCCTCCTAGCAAAGCAGCAATTTACTTCATATTTAAAGAAGATACTTACTCAGTTGTTTTCTTGTTTTCAGTCACCTTTTGAAACAAGATTTATTGAAATAATTTAATTACGTAATTGAGTTTGAGTCTCTGAATAAGTATGAAATACCACAAGACTAGGAAATACGCCTTGAGATCTGACAAGTGAGAAACATAAGTGAAAAGTAGTTCTTCACTGAATACCTTGAACTACTCAAAGTTAAACGAAGCATGCTTTGATGCTAAGTGACTTATCCTAGTAACATACATCGACTTAAACAACAAGATATTGATTAGTCTACATTGAATGAGCGATATACTTTAGTTTCTCATGAACAAAGATGGCCAACTCATTTACATTTCCGTGCACCGGAACATAAATTACCTTCGTTCATTCAAATCAAACTGAAAACCGATAAGAATACACTTCTATTGTCTGTTTTTACATCAGCTTGTTATGTTTTCCATAAATTTTTATGTTTACTTCTCACTTTTAGAAATAAAATTAAACATTTCATCCGTTTAAGAATACAGTTTCTTCATTGAAGCATTTAGGATTTGATTCTCTTCGGTTTATTACTGATTGAAACAAGAGGATGTCAAGTTCATGTTCGATCAGGCACAATACGTTTTTTAAAAAAGAAAGATCTCGAAAGTGGCATATAGCTAAACCATTAGACCAAAAAGAGCTCAAAAGGTAGAATTCTAACTAATACACATTTAGTGAAGTATTCCTTGAATACATTATCTATACATTGTAGTAGGAATCTCAGGACTACCAGTGGTCGTGTTTTGTTTTATTTATCTTAAAAGATATTCTACATATGACTTAATGGATAATACTATTGCATACTTCGCTTTAAAAGCTTTTGATTGACGCCTCATCTATTTATGCATGACTTATAATTAGGAAATAATTGTCTGTCGAGTGAAATCTATTATTCTTCAGTGTCGCATGTTTGTGCATGAAATTGGTTGATTCATTTCTATAAATTATGTTAGAGGACCTAGGCTTGATACTAAAGATTAGATGACTAGAATAATAAGAATAAAAAACAAGGAACTCTGACCTGCCAACGAACCAACCAAGAACACATCGTCCAATAAATATACAGAAGGAAGTGGAGATGAATTTGGCATACAATGAGAAGACCAACTGGGGACATCACGCTCCAGGCCAGACCAGGCCAATCCCTCGAGTGGAACCTAGAGGGGAAACGACGAGTTGGGTGTGTCAGGGTGACATGGAGGAGATGGTGTGAGGAAGAAATGAAAGGTTATGGGTAGTCTTGGAGTCAGGTTGAAAGGACTGCAGAGAGGAGAGTGGAATGGAGACATGCTACTGAAGCCTTATGTTCAACTAGGAGTTCAAAAGACAAATAATAATAATAATAAAAAGTAATCTGGTTGCATAGATAGATGAATCAGATCACCTGAATTATACGAACAATAAGCATTAAACGCTGTTTTCTGTTGTAGGCTGCTGGGAACGCCGAATTGCTTGATTCATCGTGTGGGTGAATTGAGTTTTAGAGACTGGGTAAGTATGTAAGAGCTAATCACGTTCAAGATCGTTTTTACTACTGAATCAGTAGTATCATATGCTTAGAAAAAATAAATAAAGAGAAGCTTGTAACAATGAATGAATGAATGAATGACTGGGCTATTTGTGCACTGCTGACGACGAAACAGCTGTTCACTGCTCTCAGGTATTCAACGGTTCTCCAGATGATGCTCGTCTTTGATGAATACCACCTTCAAATCAATAAAATCCCCATGAACTAAATTATATTATTCTTTAGTGAAAGAAGTAGGCAACTGTTACAAAAACGTCTCAGATAATTTTAACTTGATTTTTACTGAGTGACAAGTAAATTGTTCATCAGTCTTCCTTATTGGGTATATTTATTGCCAAAAAGTGGTTTCTTATTGTTCAGTTATAATTATTGGATGACAGACAACAACAAAGAAGTCAAAATATCCTAATACAGAAAACAAAGCCAAAATATTCAGAGAAGAGGGATCTTTGTAATAAATTAATTCTCAAGCTGTTCATTTATGTGATATTTAAAGACTGCCATCTTTGAGGTAATATGAACTAGACAAGTTAAATGGAGTAAAATGAAATTGTTAAGTTAAAATTTACAATTATTGGGGAGATTAAATGAAGCAATACTGGAAACTATTTATCGTGAAAATAAGAATACTGAGATACTGACGAAATAGAAGTACAAAGATTAATCTAACGAAGGGAGAAATCGTTAACCCCCCCCCCCTCCAAAAATGAAACAAACCAAGACTAAACTAATGTTGGGTACTAGCCAGCTGCGCAATCCCTGACGCACGTTTCGTCCCATTTGAGACTCGTCAGCTGGATATACCTGCTTCCTAGTGAGTGATTCTGTTCCCACTAATATAGGTAACAATATGAAAAAGACCAAATTAAGTTAAGCTTAAGGTAGAAACACAGACTACATACTTCGTTTGCATACAAAGGTCAGACTTAAGTTCATGGATACCATCATTCCTATTTCAATGGCTTATTATTTAAACTTTATTTTCCTAACGGATTGGTGTCTTGAAGTATCATATCACAGTGGAAATTATGAATCCATTTTTTGAAAGACTGCTTTGATCGAAATGAACATCTAAGGCTGTATTGGAAATCATTTAGATGCAATCACATTCAGCCGAAGTCCAAGACTGAAGTGTCAAACGCTAAACCATATAGATGAGATTAATTCATGGACTACTGGAGTGGACCGAAATATTCATCTAAGAATGCACGCTGTCCATGATATGTAACCAGATTTACGCCGATTTTTTGAAGACAGCAGTGTCGCAGAAGTATCAGAGAAACAGTGTAATATGACTAAGTTGGAATTATTAAACACTTTGGAAGTAACTATATCTACTAAAAGACGGTTTCCAAGCAAGCCAGAGAAATATTTTTTTCAATTTATAAAGTATTGAATTGTTGAAAGTTCAACTAGAAGCGTTATCCCTGGGTCGTAACTTTTGTACTAAGTTTCCAAGTATCAGCAAACTCCATTATTATTATTATTCGTCCCTTGGGTTCCTAGTGGAACATAGGGCTTCAGTAGCACGCCTCCAGTGACCTCTGATCTCTGAGATCTTTTGAACCCCGCTCCACGACAGCCCGAAAGCTCTCATTTCCTGCTCGCACGACCTCCTCCATGTCACCCTCGGACGTCCAACTCGTCGCTTCCCATGGGGATTCCACTCGAGCAACTGGCCTGACGCGTGATGTCCTCAGTCGGCCTTCTCAGTGCATGCCCAATCCATCTCCACCTCCTCCTACATATTTGTTGCGTGATAGGTTCTTGGTTGGTTCGTTCCCAGAGCTCCTTGTTGCTTATTTTTTCTGGCCATCTGATCTTCAGTAGCGAGCCAGCGTAAGCAGTTGTTGATGAATGTCTGTAGTTTATTGGAAATCCCTTTCGTGACGCGCCAAGTCTCTGAGCCATACAAGAGCACTGACTTGACGTTGGTGTTGAAAATCCGTATCTTGTTCCGCATGCTGAGTGCAGGAGATCTCCACACTGGTTTCAGGCTAATGAACGCCTGTCTTGCTTTTCCGATTCTGACTTTGACGTCCTCGTCCGTCCCGCCTGTAGTTGAAACAGTGCTGCCTAGATAAGTGAAGGAGGTTACTTCCTTTAAGTTTCTCCCGTTGACGGTGATTGGAGTTTGTTGTTGTTGTTGGAGTTGTTGGTGCGGTATCTTCATCACCTCTGTCTTCTCCATATTCACCTGAAGTCCCGTCTTAGCTGCCCCACCTCTTCTATCAACTTGTTAGTTTTTGCCTGCAGATCTTTAAGTTTATGTGACATCAGGCACAAGTCATCGTTGGCGAAATCCAAATCTTCTAGGTTCTTTTCCGTGGTCCAGCCAGCGTATCCCCCTCTTCTCGCTGCCCACTGTTTGCTGCATGATCCAGTCCACCACAATAAGGAATATCATGGGGGATAGTAGGCAACCTTGTTTCATTCCTGTCTTCACTTCAAAGGCATCACTGAGCTTCCCATTGTGAATTACTTGGCATGTGGCATCTTCATATAGCTAGTTGTTGAATGAGGCGGATAAAGGTTTGCGGTACTCCGTAGTATTGAAGCAGTTTCCAAATTACTTCTCGGTCGACGCTGTCGAAGGCCTTCTCAAAGTCGATGAAGTTGAGGTAGAGAGCTGATTGTTATTCTATGCTCTGTTCTATGATGATGCGAAGCGTTGCAATTTGGTCTTCACATTATTTGTACCTTCTGAAGCCTGCCTGTTCCGATCAGCAAACTCTATACTCAAGTGCAATTTGAAAACTTCATAAATCAAACTCACGGCTTGGAACCTACTCCTGAAGAGCAACTAGAACACTTCAATTCAACAATTCTTGTCAGCTGTCATAAGTTTATCAACAAAAAGCCAAACGGTCAATCAATATTGACTAAGAACCACCGGGAAGAGGTTAGAGAATTGAGGAACTACAAGAATCACTAAGAATACATAGATAAAATGTTACCCATCCTCTCTGATGAAACAAAGTCTGTAAAACCCATCAGCGAGAAGAATAAGACAGATCAAATTGAAAAATAACTAACCAACGTTCTGTGAACATTAATAACTGATTCTTTTATACATTCCCAATTATTTGAATCCCTGCTACCATCCGCTTCGGATATCCTCCGACTATATGGATTGCCGAAAGTTCTCGACATGACAGGATGGCCTTATAAGCGTATTCTCCAGTGGCTAGTCAAAATCTTGGAGCCCATAAGAAAGAAAGTCTCTCTTCATACAATTCGTGACTGTTTAAATTTTGTCAGTTTCTTAGATAATGTGACTTGCTCTGACAAAGTTATGTTCTCTTTAGATGTGGTCTCATTATTTAAAAGCGTCCCGTCGACTGAGACAGTAGGTCACATTTGTGACTATATTGATTCTGATGGATTGAATGTTGGGATACCAACAAACTATCTGAAGGAGCTGTTGTTGAGATGCACCTTGAATGCCCAGTTTTCCTTCAATAATGAAATATACAGACAAAAAGATAGCATAGGTGTGGGTTCACCATTAGGCCCTTAGCTTGTAGTCTTCACGTCAAAGCCAGAGAATGATCAGCCGGTCCGAACTTTATAAGCGATACTTAGATGATGCCTTCATCATCTACAGCAGCACGGATAATGTAGAAGATACCCTGTTTCAATTTAATAACTGCCACCCTTCAATCAGGTTTACATTAGAGAAGGAACTTAATTCTAAGATATCCTCTTTAGATGTGCAGCTAAAAAGACAAGACAATGGATTACTCGGAAGGTCTATCCATAGAACTTCAACCCCCTCCTGGGAACGGGCAACCTACGAATTTTGGTAGTTGGGTATTTTTGTGCGCCAAACGAAATCTAATTCACTCTGTGTGTCTTAGGACTCACACCATCTGCAGTCTTAATACTTTGAAAATCAGTATCCTGAGAGTTTCATTGATAAGACTATGAAACTGAAAGCGAATAAACATCCTATTTCTACGGTTCCTAAGAAGCTTCTTTTAATGAGCTTACAGTTCAACAGAGACACATCAGCAGATATACTGAGAAACCGTTTGGCATGCTCATTAAGAAAGACTTTCTATGCTATCAAACTCAGATTAACTTTCCCCACTTACTCAATGCTTAGACTATGTGTAAAGGATAAGCTAGCTCCTTTGGCCTCCTCAATGTGTGTTTATCAGTTCACCTGCTGCTGTTAAGTAAAACAAATTGGCCGTACCCAGCGTTCGCTTTCCAAACGCATTTCCTAACAAATACCAGCTTGGTTTCACAAAGGAGAAAGCGGAACACTTCACAGCTGCATTGTAGAACATTTGATGGATTATGACCACTTGGTAAATGCAGAAAACAACTTCAGGGTCATGTATAGAGTCGGGGTAAATCTTGTAAAAGGTGTACGCGTAAAACTTCTTCAAACTGCGGAAGCTATGACAATTAATAGTTTGAAGCCTGAACTCTGAGTTCAAAAGGAATTTGTTAAGTCACTTTAGTTGCAACCAACATAACCTAAAAGAAGATTTTTACCTTTAAAAGTCTTTTCCTTCAGATCTCACACATTAAATTCCTGCACTTTTGTAATTCTAATTTCTGTTTACATTCACCATATTACATCATTTAACTTTGTAACCAAACATTACTTCGATCTTGATAAGTCTTCTTCTCATTATTGTTTCGAACGTTATGTAATTCTTCATCCGACCTCCTGATTTATAATCAAAATATCTCATGAAACATTCCTTTTCTGTTTCTGTATGAAGAGAATATTTATATGCGATTGTACAGATTGAGAATGATATCAGTGAAAAAAGCGACTCTTCGCTTAACGTTTTTTTGTTTTAATACTTAATGAGGATTTTTAAACTACTGAATTATGGATTTGTAAATGAAACAATCATTTGACCCTGAATAACACTATTTACAGAGATAAAAGGATTTATCAGTGTGTAAACGATATACATTTCAAAATCTACTTACTTGGTTTTTAGAAATGGTACAGAACCGCATATCCAGCCAAGAGTACGTCTTTGTTTCCATTTCAACCATAAATATGGACAAGTGTGGTCTTCTTTCTTAACATGTTGCGATGAAATGATCGGTATATACAATAGTAATAGTAAATATAATAAGACAGTAGATATGATCAATTTAGCGTCCAATTTAAACAACATTTGTACGCTTAGTTTAACTAGGAACAGAATGAGAACACTGTGTTTCGAATAAACTTCATTTCAACACGTCAGATTTTATATCAATTTAGTATCCTACTAATTGGACAGTATATTATCAAACATTTTTATTTTACAATAATGAAGTAAATAAATTGATGATATTTTGGTCAAAAGTGATATCAACACATCGAAATTTAGTTCCATAATATTGCACACTTAATCTGTTTCATGTTCTCTGTTGTATCTACCGTCATTATTTATCATATTTATAAACATATATATACTTTATACATAAATCCTTTCAATCAATTTTTATGTTACTTAAGGCATGCACAATGATTAGTAGGAGTGTAATGCTTCCAATAAGTAATGTGTCGATCGATGCATGTGATATGCCGCCGAAGTTAGGTAATATAACATCACATCACAGTGTATGGGATGTCGGAAATTCACAAGCTATAAAACTAAAAAGTTCTACTATACTTATTGCCTAGGGACTGGGTATCTTGGCTCATTGACCTAGTGGTTGACTGTCTAGCGTCTGAAGTGATCGGCCCTGCGTTCAAGGAACAACGGTATTCACTGCGACGTATGTACACGTATCTGGTGAGTCTGAAACAGGGTGAGACATACGTCCTGGATTCCACTGCCAGCCACTATTCACCACTAATATATCTAAATGTACCGATACATTTATATGATAACATATGAATTTATTGAAGAGTTGAAATGCACGTGCTGATCGGCTGCTAAACGCTAATCAAGTTAATGCTTCAGTAACCATTGACCAAGAAATTTGATAGATTAAACTTCGTTTATATAGCTTCATGGCAATAGTTTTATGCATTATGTTGACGTACTAACTACATGAAAATAAGATGGCTGCATAAACACAGACAGATACATAGGAAACTGACTTAGCATTATATCAATAAACTATAAACTCAATATAATCAGATGCCTAGCATTTAGAGTAAGATCAATTCGTTCCAGGATGTTTGTAGACAAAGAGCTACTATGTTATCTGTCATATTCCAAGTGAAAAAGTATATCCTAAAAAGTTCATCAAAGCAAACATCATAAATTGATGACAATAGAGAAAAAACCTCTATCTCTGGATCTAAAACGCAGGTGAGACACTCCAGGTGACATCTTATTATCAAAACACCTAACTAGAGCGGTAAATAGAAGGTTTTACGCATGCTGCGCTTTAATATCGTTTCACAGTCAGCTAATCTAAGGCTAAATGATGCCCTACCTAATCTTGTTCCTATGGTACAAGTAACACAGAGCATACGCCTAGGCAGGTGCTCCTCCGCATATGAGATCATTAGCAGGCTGTGTTTGGAAAGCGTGAAGTAAAAACGGTCAACTATTCCATAATTGTGCACCTAGTATATGTAGGGCATCAGATCAGTGCTAATAGACCTTTTAAAGTTATACAACGTGTTGCAAAAGTAGCTCGCCAACGCCTATTCAAAATAGTTGGGGCTTAAGCAATAATACTGATCAAACCTGGAGTTTGTATTCCGAAGAAACATGCTAAAGCGCTATTCCTCCTCTGATGCTATATACTCCTGATTTTGCATAGTTTTACCCATTGTTTTGCTCATGACCTTAAAATAACCTACATGGCTGTCTTCAAACCGTTACTAGTTGTTCTTCCCTTTTACTCTCAAGACTGAACTCTCATTGGTTGTTAACTATGTTTACTGATATGTGGATTTAGTGTTTGTCAAGGTCATTTAGAACTGTATATATTTAACATCGCTGTAAACCGTTTTGACTTTTGTTGAGACAGTAATAAGCTCTTTGTCGGCAGTCTGTCTTCGTTTCTTGTCTTCACGCGTCGGTGGTATTTTTGTGATGGTGTTTGACATCCTGATTTGCTTTTGAGTTACTTCATTTTTGCGCGTTAGGTTCGTACCGTTTCTAGTCTGCTAGGTTCGTATCGCTCGTAGGCTGTAAAGTTGTACTACCGCTTATAGCAGATTTTCATTAAACCGGAGTCTACCGCTGTTCTCATTATTTGTTGTCTTTCTTTTACCATCACACTCTTCATTCTAATAAGGACAAATCTAAGAAAAAAACTTGATTTCTTCACAGTCCCTAATCTCACTCCATTAGGAAACTTGTATTCACTTCAAACTCGACCTACCTTACGCTGAATAATCCTATTTTGTAATCCTAGGACCTGATGAGAATTTATCAAAAAAAAAATATTTTCTCAATTCAAATTTTTTTTAATTACTGACTGACATGAATGTCAAGCTTCTCGGAATTCTCTGTTATTGTTTGTTTCTTGTAAATTGTTGTCCATAGTTATCAATATGCATTGATATGAGTAATGAAATGGTGTGATGTTTATTCATCAACTGTTGTTCAATGTTACATGGCTGTACTACACATACAAATCTCTTGCAGGCTCATACCCTCTTTAATAATTGAACGTGTTTCATGCATTATGGCTGTAAAATACATTACCACCCAGCTATTCGTACTCTTAAATGTAACTTCTCATTGTACTAGACAAACTTTGCTGGTCTCTTCTAAAGGAAAATCATTAGTAGTTGGGATTAAATAGTGATTTCTGAGGTGACGTCAGATTGACACTGAGAACAGATCAAAAAAAATATATAATTCAAGCTATTCTAGCGTTAGTTTGTTTACTGCCTTAAACAGTCGCCATTTTGTTAATCACTTGAAAAACATTACCATAGTTCAAATCTAAAACTAATCCATTTACGACTATGCGTATACCGGTCCACTTCTTCTACCACATGACGTTAATAAGAAGAGTTTTAGACTGTCCACAAAACCAGTGATGCATATTCAACTCATCTATAAATAAACAACAATTGTCGATAGACATTTTAATTCGTGTAAACAGTTTGTGGTAGTTATTTCATTCGATGCTTAGCTAAGCATTCTCATTTTTCATATATTCTTCTTTGTCGGTCTGTTTTCAGGAGAAACAGAAAACAAGAACATAAAAGTTTATGCACATGCAACTAAGTACAAAATCTTACCATAATTTATTTAGTCTGTTAATTATGTGGAAAAAGGAAGCAACTTAGTTTGCCTTTGAGTGGTCAATACATTCACTTCGAAACCTGAAGTTCCTGAGTTCGACCACTGGCGGGATATGGGTACGTGCTGTTGAGCAGCCTCGTAGTGGGACGAAACGGCTGTCAAGTGCTCTTAGGTTTATGGTTGTTCTCCAACTGATGTCAGTCATTGATAGATAATACCCTGAAAAGCGGAGTGTTAGAAATAAACTTAGTATTTCACTTTGACATGACAAAGGAATTTGTGGTTATATACTTCGTGTTATCCTTGTATTAAGAAATTTATTTTAATTACGATTCATTATAATTATTGACATTTTTACTTGAAAAGGTTGTGCATTAAGTTATTGTTTTGCAACACTATATGCTGAGAATTCTTTCGTGTTTATCAAATAAAAGGCAACTCAACAGTCGTAATGAACAAATCTGACAACATTACCAAAGTGAATGAGCATATAGAAACAGGACCAAATGAAGAAATTAAGAAACCAGAGGATATTATCATGAATAAGGTTGAGAAACCCACAGAAGATCTAGTACGCCGAATGAAGCCATTTCTAAGCGAGTCAAAATGGTTTACTATAATAATGAAACTAGTAATCACAGTAGAATTTATGGCACCATTAAGATTCATAAGCCACGTTATCCCATCCAACCTCTGACAGGTGCATCGGCTCAAGTTGCCATACTTCACAATAGTACACAAAGAGCATATGGATAGAAAAAGATTGATATCAAAGTAGATAAATATGTCTGGGAGAATAAGTAATCTGAGGATAAAGGTTAGTGAGAGTATTCAAGCTTCAGAAGATATCAAGGAGTGAATATATCTGGACCATAATGACCGACTATCAGCCATGTAACAAATAGTTCTCAACCACTGATTCCTTTCTCCTTGCGGCCCCTAGCCAAGCAGTCTACCTCTCTTTTCACACGACTCAGATCAACAGTCAGAGATGTCATGGACTGGTGCCACGTCTTGGTCTATACACTTCAAACCCTCTTCTAATGTAATACAACTTCCCGTAGCTTGGTACATGGAGGAAGGCGGTAGCTTGAAATGCGCATTACATTTTCAAACCATTGCAGTCGACTAAGGTTCATAACCTCATCAATCCACTTACTTAGTACCATTTGCCTGATCTCAACATTACTCACACGGTAATTCCATCAGTTACGAGGGATGCTACTAAGAGATCTATAATCAGACACCTCTAATCATCTCATGCCTTCTACTTTCTATGGTCATGTCTCACAGTCGTACAAAGGGACATAACGAACTGTAGTGCAGTATACAGTAGATCTTAGAAACATTTTGACTTGTGAGATTTTTGAATTTTTAGCAATGTTACTAGGCACAGTTAGAACTTACTTAAATCTCGACTTGCTAACTGTTATGAACTGAAGAACAGATTACATGATATACGGGTCGATGACAGTAAGAAATCTGGTTACTTCTGACACAACTATACTTTACACGAATATACCAATAGACATGGTTCTAGGGGAAGTTAGAAACGGACTTAAGGATGATAGTGAGTTCACTCATCAAACTAAGGTGGCCATCGAGGAAATCATGTTCGGAGTACGATTGTACCTGACGTGTATATTTCTTAAGTTACAAAATAAGATATACAAACAATTTGAAGGGATTGTTGTGGGATCACCAATATCCCCTATAGTCACAGACATATTTATGGATAGTTGGAAACGGATTGCCCTTCAAAATGTTAGTCCGACCCCAAAGATATGGTTCTGATATGTAGATTACACATTCAGATTAGTGAAATTGGAGCACACCAGTAGATTCTTGACACATAAATTCAGTGGTGAATGCAATCCAACTTGCCTGTGACTTAGTGATGAAGGTGAGCTAGTCACGTTGGGTTACAAAATTAAACGAAAACAAGATGGAAGTTTAGAGACTTATGT